GAACAACACAAAACAACAGTATCTTAAAAAGCTAGTAGATTTAAGAGAATGCTTATAAGAACTATAGGAGAAAGAGTGTTGCAGAAAAGAGAACGAAAGGTGCAGTAAAGATGTGCAACCCCTATTTTGTGAAGTTATGTTATGGTCTGTTAAAAGCCAGGTTGCTTGACAGTTGCAGTCTTTTTTGGGCAAGGCAACAAGCACACTATAAAACCTACAGCGCTCTTTGTTTTGGGGACTGTCACTGTACCTACTTTCACTTTGCTATCTGTCTTGTCCACCAAGCACTTGCTATTAATCCTTAGCCACTGACATGGAGCTATAGAAGACAGGGATGTCAGGGGAAGTGTTTTCATGCTTTTAAAATACCTTGTGTAGTTCTCTTAAACTCGCCTGTCTTCCAGCACCTTCGCTTCTACATCCCTCCACCGGAGATGGACGCATCCTTTTGTTTGTCACTTGTTTTCGTTGTCCTTCATTTAGTATCGATTTGCTATTAATGCCAGAGCATCACGGAGGGAGGGAGGCAGGGGTTGAGGTGGCTGCAGCTGCTTGACAGGCTTCTTCATCTCCGAACAGGAAGTTTGGTTTACATCAGCCGTGGGGCGGGACCTGTCATCAGGGGTCCTCAGGCTAATGGGCTGGATTTATGCTGTCCTCTCCTCCTCTCAGTGTGGACCAAGTGGAAAGAAGCTTAGGTCACTGATCTTAAGCTCTTTTCATTGTTTTCTTCAATAGGTTATCATTAAGGTTTGGAGACAGAAAGCTGATGCTCCAGACAAATGTATGATGAGCTGTGAATTCGGACCTTAAATCTGGTACGGTTATGACTTAAATGTATTTATATAACATGGTCAAGTCACCTAAAGTCATTTCTTTGCCTTTATCTAACTTGACACATCGAGACACATTTCATTAATCACTTCTCCAAGAAGCCTGGTGCTGGGCAATAACCACAGTTTGGTTATCAAATCAATTTGACAAATCCTCTGAGAATTGTAAAACTGTCTTGGAGCAAATGGTGGCCTGACACTCTGCATTAGCGGAAAAGATGTGACTCCGGACTGACATCTAGCCATGTGGCTCGTGTGGCGGTTTACAAAGAAAACATCATATTCTGTCACTCATGACTTTGTGGTAGGATGTCAATAAAGGTTAGCACTCTAATCACGTAGGACAGCCATACCTGGAAGCAAAGTGTATTATAGCTCAATGCACCAGCTTTATCAAAAAGTGATGAAAACACAATGTGACTTGTGATTTGGTCTCACAGTTCAAATGAAAGGAAACAAACGTGCAAAGGACATTTTACTTTCTGTGTAGATTAATTAAATTGACAGTTTTATCTCAAGTGACAACACGCATATGACTAAAATGTATGTATTGTTTTATATTTCATGAGGACAGCTATGATTATTTTACCATTGCTTCCTATTCCTGTTATTTCCTCCTCACTCCGTCTCTCTCATCCTTGTGATCATCGCGGTGACTGAACTCATTCTCAACTATTTATTTGCTTTATTTCCTGAGATCAGCTATAAAGAACAAACACTATTAAGCCAGCCAATCAATAAGGGAACATCAGCGCTGTTATCCCCCCCGCCCCCCTCTCTCCGCAAAATAGATTTATATCTTCTGCCTGAGCAACATAAATCATATATTCATACATTAAATTAAAAATGTGATTGATAGCCACGCAGAGTGTGTACAAAACCTCATGATGTAAAAAACTAATATTAGTTGGGGACTGGGAAGGGTGATGAGAAAACAAGTATTGTTCTCCAAATGTAATTCTTCACAGTCTTGTGAGGACATTCAAGTTAAGGAGATGAGTAGTGGAAAAAGGAAAAACTGACACTTGAATCTGCAGCTAAAGAAGCAGATAATGTAAATAATCATAAGCATTGAAACTCAAATACAACTCAGTGTTACTCAACAGTTGTTCACAATAGAAACATTAACTGTAAGAATGGCTAAAAGGCTAACTCGGGGTCCAAGAGACATACATCTTGACTTCTTAGGAGCTGGCCAGGTCCCAGCCTCTATCTTCTGCGTGTCTTTCTGCAAGGCATGTGGAGAAACAGGTCCATTCACAAAGTGACACTTAATGGGATTTGTACAGATTGTGTCATGCATTACAGGACCCAATGGCCGTTGGAGCATACCAGGGGAGAGAGGCAGAGAAATATGGCAGCATCCATCAGAGGCTGGGCCAGAGAGGAAAAGGTGCAGGAACAGAGAGGAGACGAGGGGGTTGGGGGGCTGCCAAGGACATTTAAGAGAGCTGTCAGGGGAGGCTGATCTATGAAGGACCCTGTTGGCTAAACCTATATCCATGGAAAGTGAATAAGTGCAGTCACAACGCATGCTGTAACACATGCGCTCACACCCCAGAGGGCGAGTATAGTAGAGTAGTCTCTGCACACTGGTTCAAAGATCAGAGATGGAGATCATCCACACAGAAAATCTAATGTTTCCAAATGTGTGATTGAAGCATGAACATATTAAAAACAACAGCAGTAGAGGGAAAAGAGATAAACCATTCAACTGCAAGAAAAATGTTTTGCTGAAAAGAATATGTAATAAAATAATGCTTGTTCTAAATGTTTTATTTGAAGTTATATATATTATTATTGGGTAAGTATGCATTGCTCAAAATTAAACCTGATGACAAACCAGATGCTGCACATCCATTTTCAGGATGCACTAATACAGGGTTATTGATTCTATCTAATCTACAACATAACTAACAAAATTGGGTTTTCAGACATTCATGTCGACCCAAAAAAATAGAAATTACTAGGAACTAATAACTATAACCATAAAAGAGCTCCCCGTTGACTGCTTTTGAGACAAAGTAGACTTAACTTGAGATTTAATACAAATGAAAATGAGATTCACATTCAACTTCTCCCACAGAAAATTGCTCTCACAATCTTTTTCTCTCACAATATTTTTCAAACTGCCAACCTCAAATAGCTACCGAGAGGTCAAGCCATTTAAAATAAACGCTCACTCCAAGGAGTTTGGTTACATTTACTGTAATGGGGCACTTCACCAATTTTACACAGATACAGGACTATACTGAAAGAGATTTGGCCGAAATCTACTCAATTTTGCCAAAGAGCCTAAAAAAAGATGACTGTGCAGAGCTGCTTATTATATGTAGAGTTTTACATGTGTTTTTGAATTGATGAGGAATAATTCTGGTTCTAGCCCCTCCAGGAAACGGACTCTTCCTCTGCTGTATCTGAGGTGTGTGTGTGTGTGTGTGTGTGTGTGTGTGTGTGTGTGTGTGTGTGTAGCCGGCCGTCTGTTGAGCCTGAGGAGTGAACGCCAGGAGACCCTGCCAGAGGAGACGCGGCAAGGGGACCATTACTAAAGCTTAATGATATGAGAAGTGTTCTGCTATCCACCTCAGAGGGGATCCATCATGATGCTGTAGCACTATACATCTTTCAACAGCCCTTTAAGAGGAAAGGGGACATTTCTTCATGCTGTAGTAAAAAACCCCTCCCTTGGCCATTCTTCCCTTGAGCTTTCTTCATTCCTCATCATCACTTAAAGGCGCTCTATTTTAAGATCATTGCATCTAAGGAGGAAGGCGTGGTGTGACCTTGGCGATGGGTGAAGGTGAAATAAGGAGGTGAGAAGCACTGGGAGAGTCTCAAAACACAATATCGTGTCTGGGATTTGTCCCAGTGTGCCTCTGGGGAACAAATACAATATACTCGCCGCCTCAAAGTCACACTATGCACTGTCACTGGCTTCAGCTGAGTGCTGATAGATGCCTCGTTGTCCCCTCATAAATAAAAACAGTTGGGTCTCTGCTGTAGGAGACTGTAGATCAAGGTGTAAATAGCTAAAGGTATGCGCTGCAGTACGTCAAGCCCCGAGGATTTTCTCTTTCTCTTACATTTTGTGACCGTGTGAGAAAACTCTGCGACTTGTAAATCAAGGCGATAAACTGCAACACAAGCACAATCAAAGTAGGAAGGCTAAAAGCGGTGTTGACTTTAGGTCTTTAACATAATTTTATAGCCGGCAGCCAATATGCAGTAATCACAGCATGGAGACATTTCTGTTGTAGTATTTGCATTGTTTGAGTCACAGCCACCTGCCTGTGGATTTACACCAGTAGATCACAGACAATAACAGTAAAGACAGAAGTGCACTGGTTTATGACTTCAGCACTTTCAGTTTGAAGTCTTCCAGCACCAGTGAGTTTAAATTATGGTGGGAGACGTCCTTGGGATGTGAACATCTCATTTCACCAAGCTGTGCGCAACCACACACACACACACACACACACACACACACACACACACACACACACACACACACACACACACACACACACACACACACACGACTCTCTCACACACAACTCATTTCATTGGGGGTCTCAGGGAGGCTGTACTCAGTGGAGCATGACATAAGAATTATACATCTGGCAGCAGTAAACCTGCAAACTCTCTCTCACACACACACGTCCACGAGCGCACACACACACACACACACACACACACACACACACACACACACACACACACACACACACACACACACACACACACACACACTGACTGCTATCAGACAGAACACCCAACTTTGACAAAGAACACATAATTATTTATTATTTTTGAGCATCATTGCTATTGGTGCTTGTTGCTCTTCTCCATGCAAATGTGATGCAGTTGTATTCCCTTGACACGAAAAGAGCTGAAACAGCTCTCTGGTTCTTTTTAGATAAAAAGTTTCATTAGTAAGTGTGCATTTACAGTAATTACATTAACTACTTTGGTCAGATTAAAAGGTCAGCAAGTTGTGTTTGGACTATATAAAAAAGCATGTTCATTTTTCAAATTGAAGATTTATTTTTGTGATATTGAAAATATTGTGCTGGCTAATGCTTTGTTTACAGGCTGCAGTGATTTTAGAGTGGGAGGGGCCAGAGTTCCACACATATGAGTGCAGAGAGCATGGCGTGGCCAGCCGACTATTTTTGATTATATAACCCAGGTTGCAACACATTTTCATGTCAGTGACGCACTAAAACCATGGTTTACATCACATGACTGTTTATGCATCAAGATCTTACCCCGGAAAACCCCTCCGAACGACCTTTGACCCGAAGGTATAATTGAAAAACATTATTTCTTACACCTCTGATATCTATTGCTCAAATCGTTTTCATGCCACATTTTTTTTAACGAAAGATAAAAATTAAAAAGTATATTAAATGATTCAAGTATATATGATTTATGGTGAATTAAACTAATTTTTTCTGAACTCCGTTAGATGGATGGAGGCATCCCAGCTGAACCAGGAGGCTCCGCATCCCCATCCCAGCTGCGCCCCTCTGACAGACCACAATGAGCACCTGGGGACACGCCCACCTCCTGCTTCCAAGTGCTGTTATTGGCTACGGGCTTAAATATTTCGAAGGCAGTCCCAGGATTGGCTCAAATATCACACAAGTGATTTCATAAAGCAAATCTTTTGGAAGTTGTGTAAAGGGAATAAGTAGGAAAAACCCTTGAGATAACTGCGGCATCAACCGCACAATTAGCTGTCGGTATCTCCTTTTCTCTCTCTCTTCTCCCCTGGCTGTCAATCGCTGGAGGATTTGTCGGAGTTCCCGAGCGCCTCTGCATCTGTGAGTACCTGAGTTCTGCTGCTGCTGAGGCTGATACCTTCCTCTGGGCTCAGACTGTAGGCTCCGCTGGGATGTGCTGCAGGGAGAAGCGATAGAAAGTTCATCTCCGTCCGGAGACTTTCTGCTCTGAGAATATAACTCCAGATTAGGACGCTTTTTCAGCAGTTTTCGGTCAGAAACCTGGTAGCCTATAATAGAATACTGTTTTATCATCACATGCAGAAGCTACCACGGTGCTGCTTCACTCAGAGCGGATCACTTAAGAAAACTGCCGATGAGCAGTGTGAAACAATAGAAGACCGCAGTTTTTATGATTATTCTTTGTGTAAATAGACCTGCAATGTGTTCACATGTTTGCACATTTTTCCTGTTTGTTATTTTCACAGCTTATTTGATTTTGAACTTATTTTCGTTTAGAGTTGTGAATTTAATATAATTAAATTGGAGAAATGTAGCCGACAACATAGTATAAAGATATATTTTTGCATTACCACATCCAAACAATGCATCTTATTGGTGATACATTAAATGGTGTGACTTTTCTAAAAACATCTACAACTATACAAAAATATTTGTTCATCATCTTCATGACATTTAAAAAGTTTGAAACAAAGTGAGTTGGGTTTTGTGATGCAGCAGATGAAGCATTATATTGAGTTGTTGCACAGTGTGTATTAGCTGGAATGAAGTGTGTTATTGTCTGATACTCTTTGTGGTAAATGAGAGATACACTGGAGCTTTACACTAATGGCAATTGTTGATTGCTCAGAGTGATTGCTAAGTGTAATTCACTGGGACTGGTACAACACTTTGTGTGTATGTGTGTGTGTGTGTGTGTGTGTGTGTGTGTGTGTGTGTGTGTGTGTGTGTGTGTGTGTGTGTGTGTGTGTGTGTGTGTGTGTGTGTGTGTGTGTGTTCTGCAGTGAAGGTGTCCTTCACAGAGAAGAGCCTCTGGAAGCGTGTTTTTAAAACTGAAGATGTTGCTGGCTCTTTGTCGCAGTGTTATCAGGATCAGAGCTCGGGCTTGAACGCTCCAGAAAGCACATGCTGATATTGCACGCTGGCATAATGGCCTCCTAATGCCAACATAAATAACTAAATCGAAAACATTTCTCTGGATCAAACGGCATTTTTTTCCCAAATGCTATTTCATGGCTGTTACTACAAATGACTATATGGGATGCTTCCTATTCTTATAGTGGGACAGATTGTTGTTGACCCTGCATATTTGATATTATAAAACCCCAATGATTGTTTTGTGAATTGTCGCCCATAGAAAAGTCACATTGCAACTTTATTGGCGACTCAAGTGGAGTGTCTTGGTTTTTACTGCAGTGAATGGGGCGAAGTGACTGTGTGTCCTTGACTGGCTAATGTATTGCCTTGCCATTTTATCAGGCCGGTCCCCAATGGTCTCAATCTGCTCTTTCTGCATCTCTCTAATAAGTATTTCTTCGTTTGGATGAATTCTTTGGAATACTTTACTTCTTTTCAATTTCAGCTATGTGTTGATCTAAATGATGCTGCAGTATCATCATCATAAAGCGTATTAATATACATCTATATTTGTTTAAAGTTCAGCTGCTCACCTGTGAGTGTATTATTTTAATCCATCAAATATTGTCTTGTCCTCTGAATGTCTATTATAAAAGGACTCCGAGTGCTTCTAAGAAAAGAGTATACCCATTCCCCCCACACTTTTATTTATTTTTTGTTCTTTTCCTCCCCTTTGAATTAATAGCTTGCTGACACTATCTAACATGGAGTATATGAGGAAGTCTCTAAAGCTGCTTTCTGTAGTCTGGACTGGCTTAGCCCATTTGTCATTACATCCTGCTCTAATGGGGAGAAACTACCTCATCTCGAGCTCCCGGTGTTGTTAATTAACCCTTGTTGCTAACAGCCACAGTCTACATCGCTACCAGCTTCCAAGCCAGCGTTATCACTGTGCTGCCTGCCAGCAGAGCTAGCATTAGCCGGGGCCATATTTCTGCAGGTGTCAGCGAAGGTGCTTCCTCTCCCTGCCGACGTGCCTTTGAGAGTATAACTCAAACGGCAATGCGGTTTTTATCTTAAATTGAATTGTTGAGGGAGATGTTAAAGAGCCATACATCACCTGGACACTTGGAGAAAAAAAGGGAGACTCTGAAGCAGTATGCAAGCAGAGATGGGAATGGCCCAATGACATTACAGATGGAATGAGCTCTATGAATAGAGCTGCCTCCATAAATCCACAGGCAGAGCAAATCAAGTTGTCAGCTTGTAAACGCCATTCAGTGCATGTGTGTGGGTGTGTGTGTGTTTAGTCTTGCAGTGCTGTTGATGATGAGCATTTTATTTAAGCCTTAATGAGGTGACCTTTCTCTTTCTTTTTTCCCCTCAGTGCGGTTTCTTCTTCTCTCTTTTCAGTTTTCAGAAAGCCCACTACTACCTGCCTGCACTTCGGAGGTCGATTGGATCGATTCCTCTATGTTCACCTTTTATCTTCTGACCACTAAAAGGACACCTTTACATCAGAAAGCCTTTTATCCCCAAAAAAGCTTTTCTAATGCAGCGTTGGTCACTGTCTCTGAGGAAACAGCACCTCAGGTCTGTTATATCAGGTCATATTGGTTTCCTCTATGTTCACTTGGCCTCTGGCTAATGCCCTGCTCCATGTATGGATTTTCTGTCCTGTAATTCCTCAGCCCGTCTGCCTGTGATGGGTTGTTCAGATCTAACCCTGCAGAACACTGCTGATTGCGGTGGTATATCTTCATCTTTATGCCTGAGTACAGGAGCAAGCTCTGCCAATGATCCGTCGATGTTTGCCTCGCGATGGATCTAGAGAATAGGCAACAAGGGCATGTGTTGCAGTTTGCAAGTGTATGACTTTTATTCTCATTTGCCTCATCTGCCAAGACAAAAGTATGCAGTAGTTCAAAAGAAAAGTGTTGTGTGTGAATTTCCTGCATAGGAATTGTGATGGTCATGCGGGTGTGTGTTTTTCTCCAGTGTACAGCAGCGGTGTTCTACCTTGTATTTTAGACACATTATTTCTCCACTTTTGCTCATTGAGTAATAAGTATAGATTTGAGTATAAGTGGCAGAGGTTTTTTAAGCAGCCTGATGGATGCCCTTCTACCTTTCTATTGCAAACACTGTTTTTTCCCTTCAGGTGAGGATGTTGTTGTGGCTGGTTTTGTTCCTGCCTTCCATCTCCTCGGCTCAGCGATCAGAGCCCATGTTCTCAGCTATAACCAAGACCGTCCTCCCTCCCGACTATGACAACAACCCCACCCAGCTCAACTATGGCGTGGCCGTCACCGATGTGGACGGGGACGGAGACCTGGAGATTTTTGTAGCTGGGTGAGAAAGGCTGGGGCGGTTGTGTAATACAGGTTGTTCTTACTCAAAGTTAGTTTTTTTCAAGCTTTATCTTACTCCAAATCAGAGGCTAAAAGAAAAGTACACTGTCATGTTCAAGTTAAAGGTTGAAGACAAAGGCAAAGTATGAAAGACGAGAGATGGTAGGCCCTAAGGCTCACTCTGCTGATAGAAATGGATGTGATTGGACAGAGTGCCATTGATGGGAACAGTTTGGCAAGCCTCCCACTATTCAGTGAAGCAGCAATGAATTTCCCAATGCTTAACAGAATATAGATGGACTAAATTGACCCTGTTTAATAAATGTCATTTATGCAAGACACCCTATTCAGCAGGTATTTTTGGGCAGGAAAGAATCATAAAACGTCATGGAGGATGTAATTTCATTAGGGAATAAAAGAATCTTAGGACAGAGTGTTTTAGTTTATATGACCCTGCTATTCAGCACTTAAAAGCACTTAAAGAAATGTTACAAATGCATCCCTATACTAAACTATTATTTTTCAAACACAATGGATGGATTATATATATAATAGACGAAGAAAGTACAGGTTTTCTTTTAAACCTAAACATCTAAACAAATTTAATTGTGATTGCAAGCTCAGTTATTTAGTTATCAAATTCAGGTTATAGCCCTGCAAATTGTAAAAATACCGATTGTTCCACATGCAGTATAAGGATTTTCTAATCCCTAATTTTCAACACATTTCTGCACAAGCATATTCTTGAGCAAGCAAATCTTACAAATGAAGAAATATAAACATGTTTTTAGGTATTTTAGGCAACATACATGCAATTACTCACTATAATAAATACCAGGGAAAAAAATGAAGTCCTTGATTTAGGCTTGACAATTACTGCTGACAGTCTCATGTAATGAACATGTAACAGCCATGCCTCTGGTGCCCGTTGACAGCTTCAACGGCCCGAACCTGGTGCTAAAGTACGACAAGCAGAAGAAAAGGCTTGTCAACATCGCTG